ACCAATTCCAGAAGATAGAGGAAAGAATTACTTTTAAACATGGAACATGGATATTGATTTAGATTTTAAGTGAACAATGTACAATCTTCATAAAGTCAAGAAGAGTCTGATTTGTAACAAGACAATGTGTCTGTTAATGGTGTGTGTTAAGAATTGCAGCATTCCTCAGAACTGTGTTTAGACTGTACACCTGGCAGATGCATTAAGACTGACCTGTTCTTATCCAGAATTCTAGCATAAGATGTGCAGTTCAGATACTTGAACAGTTCACTTATTTACGTCTGCCTTTATCAGGCTTTCCATTGACCTCACCAGCTATTTGGACATGAAACATTTAAGATGACAAGGTCCATTCTGAAGGTCCCATGGACCCTGATTTTGTTAGGGCTTGTCTAGTAATCTAACATCTTTCAAGCTCTGTGTGCCTCGAGTCCTAATCCAAGTGTGCCTTGAGTTCTAATTGAGTCCATTTTTCCCTTCCAAGGTTGCTTTGATGATGAGGATGTTTCTGCAGGTGCTGACTGCCCACCACCTATAATAAGCATTATTGCATGTACTTCCAGAACAAACCAAATTTAGAGGCAGCTGGTGAGGAAAGATTTCAATGCATCTTCAGGGCTTTCTTTATTAATTAAAAGTTAAGTTGTGTTGGTGGATTTGTGAGGAGTTACATGACACAGAAATGCTACACATTATTATAAAGCCCACAGAAAAAGATGACTAAACTCACAAGCAAAGCTTTCTAGCTTTTAAAGGTTCTTTGTACCTAAATATAAATAATAAATGTGCCACATATAGAATGAGTAGTATGGACTTCAAGCAATTTGAAATTTAATTTAACAAAACTACCTGTATTATTGTTAAATTAAAGGATGGTAAGCTTTCCCAAGACAAAAACAAAACAAAACAAAACAACCAAACAACAACCAAACACCAAAACCCACAAACAAAAAAACTGCCCCCCCCCCCCCCCAAACCCACCCTAAACAAGTTCATTGAATCTTAAACATGGAAGATGATCTGAAATCTTTAGAAACATACTTTAGAAAGTTTAAACACTTTAAATGAGAATCCAAACAAAAATCACAAAAGCACTAATTCCTCTCCTGAACTTGGATTCAGATTCAGGCTGACAGTACTTGTCTTGCAAATATTATCTTACCATAGTAATTTTTCTGTGGGGTGAGGCACATGTGGGTATTGCATAGTATGGTGCTACACAATTTAAACTGGCCTGTGGGCAACAGAGTGAGTAGGTACTATAATGTATTTTCATTTCCTATAAATCCTTAGCATTGTTTTTGAATTGTATATCTCAGAAAGAAGGATTTGCATGCAACAAGTTCCTTGTTAGCCATTATTTTCTAGAGATGTAATCTGTTGGTAAAGCCTGTTAATTCCTTTGAGAAAGAATATGCACTTCATTGCATGTGCCTGAACATCATCACTGTGAACAATCTTGCCTGTTTTTTCTCTTTTATTCTGTGTCAATTTAGGATGATAACCCTGGCTGTTACCACCAATCTGGATTCATAGATGTGCAATTTCCTAACTCACTCATGTGGATAATGTATTCATCCTATAATGCTGTATTTCAGTTTCAGGACAGTGATGGTTGGAGTGCAATAGTTGCCACAAGTAAAAGTAATGTACCGTTTAGCAGTTATATTGCAGTCTGTTGCAAAGTACCTCTCGGTATCTCCCTCTCTCCCTACCCATCTGTAGCAATAATCACGTAAGACGGTCTTTGAAGCAGCGACACAACTAAGTGACTACACCTGGCATTAAAATCTAGATAAAATTACTGCATACCATTTCTGACATTGACCTCATTAACACTGCCATATCGTGTCTGATTCTTCAAGACAGAGTGTCTTTTGATAGTTACATTTCTTTGGTGAGTATACAATACAGGAGTGAAGAGAAAATAACCTGTTCCAGTTGTGATGAGGAATACAATAACCCATCACCATACCAAAGAGCATATTTTATTTGAAAAATACGAATAAAAGGTTTTGTCCCTTTTGTTTATTAAAAGAAAAGGTAACAATTTCTATCAGTAACACTTGCATAAGGAGGTATACTTTACATTACTCTTTTGTTAAAAAAAATAGATATATTTTTTGAGACTTTGGAAAAATAAGGATGGCCCAATACTTGCAACACGCTCCTTATGTTCCTTAGAATGCACTGTGCTATTTATATGTACTGCAAGTACAAGGTCTTAGCACTTTATAGTCCACAAAATAAACCTACGCAGCATAATTTCATCTTCTTCTCTGCATTTAGAATATTTCCTTTGTTATCCTTTTTTTTGTGAGACTATGAGTTTGCTTAATTCCAGGCTGGTCCAATACTTAGATTTGTTTAAAGATGATTTTACAAAGCCTTAGACCACAGAAATATGTAATTCGTTTTAAATACCAATGAGAATATTTTCACATAGACATTTTCTTGCAGTATTCACAACTTAAACAACTTCACCAATCAGAATTTGAAACCAAAAACATCTACAATTCTTTTGGTTTTCTAAGAAAGCAAAAATATAAAGTGCATAACACAGTGAATTTACTTTCAATTTTTACAGTCTTTCATGGATATGTAATAAATGACAACACTGATGAACAAATTAATTTGTTTTCAATGTATTAAACTAATGCCAGTTGAATTCAAGCTCTTCATCATCCTTGAAATGCATTAAATTACATTTTGACCATTTTTAGGCTGACAGTGCATTTTCACCTTTTAAAATACTTATACAGATAATTTTCTCAGATGACACGTCAAGATTAACGAGTGCCCTCACCATTACAAGAAAGAGGGTTTGTTTGAAGGAATATGACCAATTCATTTGGTGTAAGTGTGCTATTTGTTGAATAGCTGTTGCAGAAATAAAATTGTAAATTGGAAAGCCCTTAAGCACCATTTTTAATGTGCTATTTAACTTCACTCAGTATCTGAAAAAATGGCAGTTTTCAGCTTTTAGTTGTTAAGTTGCAACAGGATTTCTATTTAAGCTAACAGGAAAATAATTGAAAATGTGAATACACAAAAGATCGACTAAAGCTTTAAGCAAAGTCCATACAACCAGACTTAACCATGAACTAGGAGTTTCCCACAATACTTTCACTCAATATATAGTTTGTTTAATCAGCAATGCTACAAAACGATCATGCCCTCCATGGCATGCAGTGTTAATCTTTTCCTAGTGTAATCAATGTTCACATAGAAATTCTAAAATATAATTTTTTTTCTAGGAGACTAAATGAAAAATTAGTGGGATTAGGGAAAGATATATGTAAACCTGTTCTTTTTGCACCGTGAGGCCTTTTTCTGCGGCTCTGAAGATTTTCTGCGATTCGTCATGCAAACAACACCGCACTGTGACGTGTGTTTGAGTAAAAAACAGCATAGCAAGCATGCAGACGTGTCATGATAGAAACACACATTTGGCGATCACTGTGGATAGGACGTACTGAACGGGACACTGCAAAATCACTGAAGCAGCATCTCAATAACCCTGCAGAGTTTTAAAAGATTCAGGATTCCTGGGGCTGTGGGAATGATGCCTGTGCTGTACAGCAGCAGAGAGACCACCAGGAATGGTGAAAAGGGAATTCTTATTTCTCTCATATATGACCTCTTTCTCTCATTAACTTAATCAGAACATAAGCATAAGGAGTAATTATTTGCTTATGACACTGCACTTCTGTTGGCTTTAAGTCTGAACATTCTATGGTGCAAATAAAAAGAAAACAATGGTGGGAACACTGCTTCAAGCACAAAATAAAATTGATTTTCTCTGCTTCAGAGGAACATAAAGATAACTAAGATCTCAAAACTATAATATAACAGTGAATGCAGTTTTCATGCAGATGTAGTACGAAGAATTATGGTCCATGGTATGACTAACACTGAAATACTTCCTTCCTAGGACTTGAGTAATACAATATAAAAATTTAGATGTTGACATAAATCAAGTACAATCTAAATCAAAGAAAATTTATCCTCATAAAATCCTGAACTACTAGTCACTTCATTTGGGACAAAACTGAAACATAGCCTAACTCTATCCTCCAAAAAGACAATGTATAAACAATTCTCAGCTTGTGTATAACTCTTACTGCATTAAAATACCTGTTTGACTTTTTTCTAGAATCAGAATGTTTCCTAAAATACACTTCTAGAAGATGTTGTATTTGGTAAAAATAAATAAATAAAAATCTGAACACAGATTATTATTAAATTACTTTCAAATTACTTTCAAATTACTTTCAAATAATTAAATTATTATTGAACTACTTTCAAATTCCCCACAGAACATTTTATAGTTCAGGGTATTTTTCCTTCTAATTTGTCTTGTGGGTTCAGATGTTGACAGAAAGAGAAACATTGCAATTTCCAAGTGACTAACAAAACAGTTGAGTAAAAACCAGTTCTGGAACTACAGTGCAACTAATACATTTTACAGTTTGAAAAGTTTTCTATAAGCCTACTTGCTAATTTTTCCAGAAGGCTGTTTAAACCAAAAGCAGTCAACTACATCTCAGGAAGCAGTTCATTTAAAAAAATATATCCTCAAAGTAGAACTGATCAGAAGTTTCAGTCATATCTAGGGCCTACCCAATCATACAGTAAAGAAGGGAAGACTTCATAATCTTGTTCACACAATAGGTCCACAATAAATGCAGACCCTTCTCTACTGAGCTCAAGGTACAAAAAGTTGAAGCTTCAAACAAAACAAAGAAAACCATAAGAATCTGCTGGATTAGGTGTTACACAGCCTGCAGTGTTAAGAACTGTTCAGCAGTTCTACAATGCCAGAAAATTACTAGCATAAGAAATCCAACCCATAGGAAAATTAAGAACAATTAAATATCAGTAGATTTTTTCTTAACTAAAAAATCATCATCTTATCTCTGCTTAAATTTTTGTTAACCCAATGTCTTACCAGCAGCTGTCTTGCTTTCAGTCACACATGGAAATAGACATGATGACTGGTGTGGCTCCTGGACTCAGAACAGCAGAAGACTTGAAAAGCTCTATCTACTGACGTAAGTGAAGCACAGTGAACCAAACAGCTGCATAGTTTAATAGTGCTGCCATGACTGTTTTTATTGAAAGAGCCTATGCTTCATCTGCTTTGCTGCATGAAGAGTACTTTGGACCCATTCCATTTAAATGAATGATGTTCCCATGAAAAGACAGAAAATAAAAGCACAACACTGGAAACAACAGTTCCTATAGCACACAGGAACAGAGCAGGCCTAGGGTTATGGGCTAGAGCCACGTTAGAGCTACAAGCTAATGACGTCCTCCCACTGTTAGCTGGTTGTGGATGAAAAGATTATGAAGGACATAACAAAAAGATATCTCGATGAAACTTGCTAATTCAGTAAGATTAAATCATCAAAGGACCATTTAAGAGGACAGGTGTGTGGTTTACCCCTTCTGTAAAGGAAACAGGCTTAGCACTTCTCACACTGATAGTAAACCCCATTGGCTACCTCACATTGGGATCACAAGGCTAGAGCACAGCTAGAAATGCAACCTGAAAGAGATTTGCTCCTCCATTAGCTATCTTCCTAAACTGGCATGACCATAAACTTATGGTAGCTTTGAGATGTTAAGCATATTGCAATAAAAATGTCATTGCTTGGCTTTACTTTAGGTATTGTTACAGATACGGTACCACAGACTTTATTGAGCAATTAAAAAATATACACAAGGGACAAATAGCTTCTTTTTTCTGTATTTTTCAAAATTTGACTTTCTTTCAATTGGAGAACCCAGTTTCAGATATGAAAAGGGCACTTGTTCTACAGTAACTGCATATAACTTGCTCAGTTCCAAGTACTGTATTCATTTTTTGTTACCACTGCTGTCATTATATCTCCAGTTGTTTACGAACTTCTTCGTTCTGGGAATTACAACTAAGTTGTTCTTTCTGATTCTATTTCCCCATAGAGTTCAGCTAGCTTCTTGAACTCAGGGCCCCAGTCTCCAAGGTAATTATAATCCTGGTCAGAGTGTGTTGTGGCTGAATCCAGAGAGCTGATAGATCCAGCTTCTGATCTATGACCCTCATAGGCATATGTCTGTAGGGAGTCATATGGGGGAACACTGGGGTCCAGATCAGCCTCTGCCAGTCTTTGTTTAATGAACTCCTGAACATCTATACTGTCAAGGCTTGAGGAGGCATGATGCCTGAGCACAGGCTTCACTTCAGGGCGAACATCCCTCCGGTATTTTAGCTCCTCAGCAGCTGATGGATTCCTCAGTGCTGTGATGTCAAATGCTTCTGTGTCTTCTTCTCCACCACCTTCATCATCATATGTCACAACATTTTCCCGGACATCTTCTTCTGAAATGATCAGTGGCTCCTTCTTGCTGCGTCTTAGAGTGATGAAAAGGACGACAATTGCTAAAGAGAAAACTGCAGATATTAGAGTAGGTTTAAAATTTACATATGAAATAAGCAGATACATACTAAAGAAATATCAAATACTAAGTCATATACAGAAGTGTAATATTTTCATGCTAATATAGGTATTTGAGATCATTACATCAGGCATGTGTGGAATAAAAGGTCACCAGACCTGTCTAATCTGGAAAAGAGCGTATTTGCATACCTAAGAGAATATTTGTATTAGGTATACTATTTGTATACCTAAGAGGCTTTGCTGTGTAACGTGTTGCCCGAAGATAGATTACTGGAAAGCACCCATACAGCTGTGTTTTGGCATAACAATATGCCAAAGTGCAACAGGCTGAGACCACACAATTAAGGGGAAAATTAATAATGCTGTACTGAAACTACAAACTTCCAATACAGCCTGGTCTTCCAAAGGGCCAGTAAAAAGCACTCTTCATATTATCTTGGTAGAGATTGCTGGGGGTTCTTGAGCCAATAATGAAATGCACTGGTTGGATTATTTGAGATTTCATAAAGAACATAAGAGGGGATAACGTTCTTTCAGTTGAATGAGTTACTAGTGCTGACATTTTTCAGAAGCATTGCTAAGGACTTCCAGTGCTTCATTAAAACCCGTATTTAGCACATATGTCCACTTAAAAGGCAAAAGGTTTATTTTTTTCTATTATTTTTTCTATTTCTATATTATTCTATATCTAATCTTGTATAATAAAACATAGGATTATAAACTAAATTCATTACTGTGCATTTTAAAACAGCCTCTTGACAAAGAAGTTCTGAAGTAAGCTGTGAGGAAAGTTGTCTTCAGAAAATGTAGAGCCTTCAGAAAAAAATCCTCAAAATCTCCTATGTGGGTCACACTGTAATGCCCATTATTTCTTGCTGTCTCTATACGAATGCAAAAAGGCACATGAGTAGTGCACACATATGTACCCAGCAAGTTGTGCCTCTGCCAGAAAAAAAACAAAAACAACAATAACAAAAGACTATATTAACTAACGGGTAGCATTCAAATTGGACTGGGGAAGGGGGAAAAAAAAGTCAAGAGAAAATGCACTTGCAATGGCATTTATCTAATGGAGTCATCTTATAGTCTCATACGGCCCTTGCCCCTGTGGATTATGTTGTGCATTTCTATCAGTTTATCCTACAAAGGTAATTAAGAAATGGCTTTCGTACAGTGCTAATGGTGCTTCTTAAAGTGCAACACATTTCAAAAAGCTTTCCTCATTTCTCTTCTATCATTTTTCACACTGCTGTAGACATGGAATTAGATTCACTGGCTTTTTGAAATATTTCCAAATTACAGAAAAAAGATCTGCAGTGCTAATTACTTGATAACCTCTGAAAAATAGTTCCTGGTGGATTCCAGATACTCATGAACATACTTTAAAGGCACTTTTCCCTATTAATTTTAGCTAAACCTTTCCCCCTTAATCACAGCTATGTGTTTCTAATTACCTTCTACTACCAGGCAGCCTCTGGTTCAGAAACATACCATATTAATTTTTTTTGCCTTTTCACATTCAGAAAGACAATGAAAGGATAGCATTACTCAATATTGTAACATGGTTTACCAAGAAGAATGACAACACAGAGCAGGATTGCGATTAAAGCTCCTGTGCTCAAGCCAGCCGAGGAGAGGAAAGCTTCAGCATGGCAAGTTCTCACTCGTCCATCTTTCTCACAGGCACAAACCCTAATTGTGAGAGTACTGCTGCTGCTGAGAGGGGGCACTCCACCATCAGAAATCAAAACAGGGAGGTAATAGGTATCTTGAGTGGTTCGACTGTATCTCCTTCGTCTTGTCAGGATACTGGCTGTATTATCTACAATATCAAAATGAGAATATAATTTTAATGAAGTAGATTCATTGAGTAGAAGCATGGGGCATTTTACAACTAGACAGTCCTAATCTGTGAAAATTAAGAGTCTAGAATTAAAATTTGTCAGGAAGCATTTGTGGCCAACAGAGTAAAAAGAGAAAGCAGGGGAAGTAATTAATACTACATAAATAAGATTATTTAAGGTCATGTACTTTTCTTAGAGTTTAAATGAACTCTGACAAACATTTTGGGCCCAGTTTGCAAGTGCTTTAATCCCATGCCATGCTGTTGGTAGTATATGGGCCCTTGTAAATGTGAATACCTGGAATTCTGAGGATATCTGTTGTGAAACTCATCCACAACATAAAAATCTTATTAATTTTTAGAAGAATATTAGAATGTCTTCAGCAAAAGTTAAAATAAGATTTTGATGTTTTACTGTTTGTGACAGGTTTTATAGATCAAGTGAGCTTTCAGAAATCACCTGAAAGGACAGTGGCCAAAGAGTCATGCTGTGGAAAGGTCACGAGGCAGGAGGGAAGGGAGGAGAGATGGAGGAAGGGAAAGGAAAAATGAGAAAATATCATATGTTCTAAACTGGTAGAGGTAAAAGGTACGTAAGCAAGGGGGAAACAGTGATGTACGATTTTATCACCATTATGTTACCTAGAGGTCAGCTGGCATATATGTACAGTCAATAAGAATACTAATGTTTATTACAGTCATTGAAAGAGCACATATAGGCACAAATCAAGATAATGAGTTGTCACCCATATCCCTCTAAATCCAAGAAATTAAGGGGCATAAAGAGAGTGCAAGGAAAGAAATGTTACGATAATATGTAGTTGCATCTTATTCTCATGTATATAAAATTTAATTTCAGTTTGTTGCTACCGCTTCATAACTACTGGCCCCTGAATAAGACATAAACTATCCACAGATAAACCAGACTGTAGACACTGAGAAATCTGGGACATGAGCAGCTGTGGGGAGAGAGAGATGGGGACTGTGAAACAGGAAGAGAGATTGGAAGAAAAGAGCTCTCCTTTCATGCTGCTTGCCCATGATTAACAGTCAGAGTTTCCAAATTGCAGGTTTGTGGGTTTGGAGTTTTTTAACAAACAACACTGGGATGACAAGTGCAAAAATATGTCTACTGGATTTCTCTTCGTATTATAATCAAACCGGAAAATTTCTTCTCACTGTAGCTGCAGTGTTAAATGGGTTTATCATAATATATGGAAAAATGAAGTCTGTAGCACTTTGGGAAAATCCAACATGACAATACAGGTAGTGTTGCATATTTTAGCCCATAGGACTGATTACTTTCCACATGCATATTTCAATGGAGGAGGTAAGTTTTTGGTTAAACTTCATACAAACTCTTTACCTACTATTCTTCATGCCACATCTTCTGACAAGCTCTGTGCCGAATTTTAAAAGATTCATTTTAACTCGTTCCTCTCAAAATTTTGCTTTTGCATACCACCTGACTGGTACTGAGAAAACCCAGTAGTATAGCCCTACATGAGCATAATGTAATTACATTATATATTTGGCAAGAGGTTTAACATAAGAAATATCTATGAGGTGGGAAGGGGTTCCCTTGCTGCTGAACCAAGAATCGAGCATCAGGTTACACTGCATTGAAGTTCATTAGCTTTTCTTCTCCATCCCCTCTATTTATCTGCTTGGAAACCTCCAGCATGGTCAGCCTGTTATAAACTCATTAAGTTTTGTTCCTCTCTCTTGCAGTGAGTGCAAAGTATGACATACATTCATTCATTCATTCATTCATTCATTCATTCATTCATTTGTTCGTTCATTCATTTATTCATTTACAATAGGCCTTGAAGTCCTCTTCTACTTGTTCATGTCAAGGTATACTTTTGATGACTGAACCCCAAGATTCATGCCAACTTCCTCTTTAGAGGTATGACACCAGCCACTTCTAATGTTATTTATTTTCATTCAATTTACAGAACCTTATGGAAACCTGAATGAAATGAACAGATAATTTTTTTGTCTGAAAAAATCTGTCACAGAGAAAGATCATCACTTTTGGAAATGGTAGAGGTTATAAAGTACCTATGATAAACCATACTCTTTTCCTTACAATGTTATTTACTAAACACACACGCACACACAAAATAGTGTGTTCAATAACCTACAGAAGAACCCCAATACAGAGGTGATTAAAAGATATACAGTAAATCAGTATTTTCTTTTGACACAGAATTGCGGACATACTTCCTATGTGCCTATAGAATATGACATACAGAAGGATTTCGTTTATTCTCATGAAGAACCTGTTAAACTTCTCCATAGTGCTTAATCTGGGCTTGTGAAATCTTATGAAAACATACCGAGGTATTCTCATTAATGATGATTTTTTTTCATTATCTTATTGTTAAGAAATTATTTTCACATTATTCTGCAACTAGACTAAGAAGCAGTGTTCTGTGTTATAATTGAGTCAACTGAAGAAATCAAGCTTTATGTCACTGAAATTCAGACTCCATTTATTGTATGTAGAAAACTCTCCCCTAAAGCAGACTGAGCAGTGGCCTTAAGGTCATAATTATAGACCATGCCCACACATGGAGGTCTTACTAAGCTCTACCAGTTTAATTCTAAGATATATGGAAAAGTCCTCAGTCTTATTTTACAAATTTGGACGAGCTTGCACTTTAATACATGTATGCCTTCTACTTTTAATTAAAGGCAGTACATGAATAATCTCACTGATCTATTTTAAAATACTCCTAAACCAAGCAAATAATTTTATGGAACACAAACTGCAATGAGGTAGATTGCCTGCATGTCTTTAATTTTTCAAGAAATATCTTGGTACAAACAGAGGGTAAAGTAAGCAGATGTTCTTTCTGCTGCATAGTGTTACATAAAAACATTTTGCTAGCATTTTTAAAATAGTATCTTGCCCGTTTGCCACTCTCTCCTTTTTTTTTTATGCTACACTGTCAGTCCCAACTCCCTAATACTGCTGGAGGACACAGATAAAATCTTCAGTGGTTCAAAGAGGGAAACCACCATAGAATACAAAATGACCTTCAGCTGGTCTGCCTGTCAGCTGCCAAAACAGTGGCAGATTGAGCTCTAGATACAGCCCAAGAGCAGAAATAACCTCACATATCTGTGATTAGTAGGGAATTTCAAATGAATACATATTTTGCATAAAAAGAAGTTAATGCTGACAGTATATATAAGGTGATGACTGCTGTTTCTGTCTTTCTGCATTCAGAAAAAAAACTGTGTATCACCACTTCATATGCATGAAAAACTCCACTCACTTTCTAGCTGTTCAGAATCCATTTTATAATTGCTTCACTTCCTTGTAATGCAGCTTATTACAAATTATTAGCAGAGCTCTCCTCCAGCCATTTCTCTTTTTATCTCCTCCAGTTGCAGGTTGTCAAACAAAACAAGGCTTGGGAGTGAGCATGATCCGTGGAAAAAGGACTGTTCCCACCACTAAATTTTAGCATTCTCACTGGCATTGTGTTTGTCTGGACCAATTAGGACTCTCACGTAACACCCAACCACAGTCAGAGCTAGCAGCACATGGCAAGGACCCTTTCCAGCAGGCAGTATGGACAAGAGTGCACCAGGTTTGTCTCCCCTCACGTTACACAGTGCTTCAACATTATTTCAACAACCTGCTTATCCCGAACAGCCTCATGCTACACACTGCAGCAGGTAACTTCCTTCTGTCACATGATAGCACGGCTCTGTTGGGCTGGCAATACAAATTTTCACATTATTTCATAAATTCAGAAGAGAAAAAAAAACTGTAATAACGAAACCTGAGCTACCCTGTGGGTTGTTCTTTGTTCTTTTTCTCTCAGCACTAACATTGCCACAATAAAGTCTGAGTGGTCACACAGAAATCCCACTAAAGTCATTAGAGAAGTACAATACTCCCACATGCACTTTTTAGCACATGTACTTATCAACAGAAAGAGAAAGCAATTTCAAAGAAGTGTCAGTTCTGAGAAGAATTATATTTCAAGTTACAATAAATAAGAAGGTGACATCAGAACAAAGTTGTACAGAAATAATACCTTAAAAACCTAAGGATATTTTCAAGGACTCAATTTGAAATGTAAATTCTGTAGTGACACTACATCCGTGAGCTAAGCATTAATATTAACAACTGTCACGTCTCTCAACCCAGAAGAAAAAATTCTCAGATCTCATACTGTTAAATCCAAAAAGTGACAGCAAGTGTTATTACCAATAATAAGAACAGTCTTTCATTTTTTGCTTAATACTGTATTTCTATTATGATGTCTACGAACCCCAAACACGTCAGTTCTGCTACCTTGTCCATATAAGAAAATTCTAAAACTTTTTTTTCCATGCCAATTTTGTTGGGCCTACAGCCAAAGAAGGCCCAGTATTCAAATCTGAGCAGGAAAGCATAGCCTCCTCCTTCCATCCTCTGGCATAAATGAAAAAAAAAAAAAAAGAAAAGAGTGAATGATCTATGATCACCATACAGCTACAGAAAAAGTGATGAAAAAGCAGGCTGAAAAGAAAAGCATCAGAGACTGAATATCATGAACAAAACCTGAGTATTCCTGAGCAGGAACTTAGCAGTAATGAAAGGATTTAAGCACAAGAGATTTTTGGCAAAGATGTAAAAGAAAGAGCATTGAGATACAAGCATGTATACTATAACTGTGGACAGATGTGGGAAAATTGTGAGGAAAATATATGAAACTGTGAGTAAACTAAAAAGACAAGACCAAAATGACAAAATAGACAAACCTGATAATTTGAATGTTACAGTGAAAAAATCTAGAAAGAGCTATAATTAAATAACGCTCCTCTTGGGTGGAAGGTCTTGCCAAACAAGGGACTGACAGTTTTATACTGCACAAAGTAAATAAAAATTGGGGGGAAAAAAAAAAAAGACATTTTTTTCTTTTAACGCTGTATTTGTTCTATCAACATTAAATTGTTTTTTTTCTGGTATCATT